TTTAGGTTGTAATATTTAGTGCTATCAAATATTTAGGTCATCATCTGCTGTGGTTAGTTATGAAGTTGGGTTTGTGCAGATACGCATACTCGTTCTTGATTAATCTGATAAACAGAAATTTGTGACTCGTCGTGTTTTGTTTCTTATAGGAGATGATTTTCTGCTAATGACCATTTCAAAATTATTAATGCATCTTGGTTATTGGTGAATTTTTTCGTAAGGATGATAGAATAGAGTATTGGCTCTAAAAGTTTAATTGCAATTTAGTACTTGACCTTTTAGTAGGAGTTATTATGTATATAATTAAATTTGAAGGCACAAAAATAGAATCAAATAAACTTGTGAGACAAATTTAGGGTTTATTTAAATCGATCATCAACCCTATCGACTCAACTTATTCTTTACCCGATTAAGAGAGAATTAAGAGTGAAATTGCCAATAAAAATCTTGGGCACATGTTAGTATGCATAAATTATGCGTGCCTTATCATGTGGTCGCATAATATCACATTCATTACGTCCTTGATCATGAAGTTTCTTTCCCAACGAATTAGGAATATGAGAATAAATGGTCCAGCCAAACACTCTGAAATGGCCAATAAATGGTCGTTTACTACTCTAAATTTCTTCAGGGTTGTTCTAAGAACACTTCTTGTATAGCACCTACTCGACTAAGAGAGAAATTTCTAATGAATATCTTGGGTACATGTTAGCATGCATAAATTATATGTACCTTATCATGTGGATGTATAATACTCCCTCCGTCCCAATTATTTATTTATGTTTGGAGAATTCAACTTTTTAAGAATAGTAGTTTAATTGTGATGTTTGTGCTTCTTTTTTTAATTTTACCCCCAAAATTTAAAATTTAAATTTGAATGGTAATATACATATGATTAGAAAGAAAAATTATATTGAAAAGAATGACTAAAAAGTATTTTGACTTTTCCAACATGACAAATATTTTAAAATATATCAAAATCGAAAGTATGACACTTTCAATGGGACGGAAGGAGTATCAAATTCATGACATCCTTGATCATGAAGTTTCTTTTTCAACGAGTTAGGAATATGAGAATTAGTGGTCCAGCCAAATATGATGTAATTTTATAAGATTTAGGGTGGGCAAGTACGATGTATTTCAAATACTTCTCAAATTTTCTAGGATTGTTTTGTGATTTTACCATAGTTGAGAGTGAGTCTGCCACATGGCGTGATTTTGGTTCTAAGCAGTAGACTCGGGTGTCGTATTTCTTTCTGATGTAGCCGCAGCCCATGGTTTTTGAGAGTAACAGTAGAAGACTCCAAAAGTTGCCCATGTTTTTAACTCCAAAAGTTGTCGCTTCTGAGCTACTGTGAGAATTAGATTTATTTATATTAAATTTTTATTTCTGTAAGAAAATGTCAGAAAAAAAACAGTAGAAGACTATTGTAGACTTTTGAGCTAATGTGAGGATTAGATTTATTTACGTTAAATTCTTACTCCTGTAAAAAAGTGTCAGAAAAAAAACAGTTGAAGACTAATTGATTGATTGAGCTTTGCAACTTTATATCAATTTCTCTTGAGCTTTCCTGTGGATATTGATTGATTTGATCCAACTGAATGTAGCAGTCTTCTGTAGAAATCAGAAGGCACACCTCAGCTAAGAAACCGAGAGATCCATAAAGGGTATGCAACACAAAGAAACGTTTTAAATGAAAAGTTCACGTCACAAATTCAGTTTTCTGGGCAGTCCGCATTTTGAGGCATTTGACAGTAATCCTTCGGTTGTCAAATCACTTTGACTTTAAACTAACTAGCACACACTGAATCACAGAGAACCAAGGTTGGCACAGACTTTGACACGTTATTGTGATACACATGTGTCACTGTCCATTTTGTCGTAAATTTGATAAGGTGCTTCTCAAATTCTACATAACTGCTGTTGAGAGAAAAGATCAGGCACGTAGCCATAAGAGTCATCAAAATGGAGGTGACATAATTAAGATACTGCACTAGTAGTACCAAATACATGCACTAGATACAAATAAATGTAACGAATATCATCTCTGTTTTGTATCCTTGAATCACCAAATCCTCATCTTTAGGCGTGTCTAATATATAATTTGACCTGCAGATGGAAGCCAGCCAAAATACACGTTTAAAAAGAAGGAAACAGATAATAATGATTAAAAGAACGCAAGGAAACATGTTTAAGAAGAAAATGAACTCGGACTAGTAACTATAGCATAGCTAATAAAATATGGGATGGGTATAGATATCATACGCAGATATATTATACGATTTTTTTTTCACAAGTACAGTTAAAAGTTCAGTGTGAAAATATGTACTTCGCAAAATTATACGTATAAATCCGTATGTGAATAGTATGAACATATTTAAAAGTTGCAAAACTAAATTATGAATAAATTTACTATACTTTCAACTACATTTCTACCAATTTTAAACTTATTTTTGTCTATCAAACCCAAAGAAGCAATAATCAATAGAAATTAATTTGTACAGACAAAGAAGATTTCGTCGGGAGATATCTTATCCTTGCAGTTGTTTGGTCCCATCGTCAATTTGGAAATTTTAGTTTCTTACTTTTTTTTATGTATAAATGAATCCACATATATTTTAGTTTGTTCAAATCTTTTCTTCGGAAATTTTAATTTTTTGGTAAGTAGGCATATTTGGTCCTTAATATTTGGGGTTGAATTAAATTTGTCAGCGACACTTTGATCAAAGTATATGTACCCTAAGACATTGATTTTGATTTAATTAATCCTGAATATTTGGATCTTAACATATGTAAAGTATGTAGTTCTGGCCAAATTAGCCTCTAATATTGCATAATATATTAATAAAATTTATTAATATGGCATACAAAAAAATCATGAGATTATAAAAACTATAGAAAAAATTGTAAACAACATAAAAATATAAAACAAATTTAAAGTATTCAGTTGTAACTACAAAAAGACTAGATGACTAATCATACCAAGTAATAACAAAATAAATCACATGTTGCACATGTGCTCCATCTATTTATTTTGCATTTCTTTCATAAAATAATTTTAAAAGCAATTTAATTTTACATGTTTGTTCAAAATTTTTTGTACTATTTTTAGGGAGGAGATGATCTAGTTATGAAGCACTCATTTCACGTGTTGTAAAATTTATTGCGCTTTATTTGTAAAGTTGAAAAATATATTATTTAATGATCTACAAACATTTACACGAGAGGGCCGCATTTCGGGAAATTCATAAAAGAATTAGAGAAAGTTACAAATGATGTGGAGAGTCGTACAAATATATTATAAAAGGATTTGTTATCTTATTCATGTGGTATCTTTTTTTTTTTATGTTGACCATTAATTTTAACAGAAAAATTAATAGTGGCATTTTAACCTCAATTCTGAAAGGGTTATCTATAAGTTTATAAATCATAGGAGACGTATGTAGTAAAGTACCAAATCACAGAAGGATTAAAGTTATTTATCCTTTTTTTGTTATTGATTTTTGGTATTACTTTTATCGTCATGCATTCCTTTTTAGAAGAAGAAGAAAATATATGATGTGAGCAAAATTTTCTACTTGGCTCCTAGTGACTACTTGGGCGGTTGGAGGATCTATAAATACGTACTCTGGCTAATCATCAAAGTGGTCACAGCATACAACACTTAATTGATCATAGGCCTACCCTATTTTCCCCCAAGAATATGGCGTCGACTCAGGCTTCTTTCCACTCAAACAGCCTGCAAGAGACTGTCCGCCCGTTAGCAGCCTTTCCGGAAAACATTTGGTCTGATCGTATCGCTCCATTTACTCCCGATAAAGAGGTTATACTTACCTTCAGCTCCTATAACCTCATGTTTTTGTTCATATAATATTTATTCCTTTTATAAGTTGGAACCATATTCTTATCCGCTCCCACAAGTTCACGATCCTTTGTAATATCCGCTATCAATTCTGGCATGATTGCTATCCCTTGATTAATTCCATAGCCTCCTATCAAGAGGGGGGAAAATACAAAAAGATTAGTTACTATTTTTCGTAGAACTAGACGTTTGATTTATCATATTTGTTTTGCTGTTTCTTAGTCATACTTGGTTTGTTCTTACCCCGACTTCATATAGGATTCATCCCCTAATTTTTTTTTTTGCCCGTAACACTGTTGCATTTCCTTAGATTTCAGGGTCTGGTTTCTCCTGTTTAGTTTCTAATTGTTCCATTTCCCTGCAATATCAAAGCGATCAATTTGACAATATGACTAAAGAAATATTTTTCTGATGCTTTTAGGAACATGAAATGTATGAAAGAGAGATTGAAATGTTGAAGGCAGAAGTGGCGAGCATGCTTTTGGCAACCGGAAAGACTATGATGGAGAGATTCGACTTTATAGACAAAATAGAACGACTTGGTGTCTCGCATCACTTTGATATCGAGATTGAAAACCAACTACAAGAATTCTTTAATGTGTATACCAACTTTGGGGAGTATTCAGCTAATGATTTATCTAGTGCAGCGCTTCAATTCCGACTTTTTAGGCAGCATGATTTCAATATCTCTTGTGGTACGCAGCTTACATACTAGATTTGCTAAGTTTTAGTGTGGACTCACCTATTAGTAAACCTTAACACCTAATTTTTCTAACATATTATTTCCAAATAATTTCCAAACAGGCATCTTTGACCAATTCATTGATGCTAAGGGTAAGTTCAAGGAATCCTTATGCAATGACACAAGGGGTTTGTTGAGTCTATACGAAGCTAGTCATGTTAGAACACATGGAGACGAAATTTTAGAAGAAGCTCTTGCTTTCACAACCACTCATCTGACATCTGGAGGACCCCATTTGGATTCTACTCTTGCAAAACAAGTGAAATATGCCCTTGAGCAGCCGTTGCATAAGGGCATCCCTAGATATGAGGCTTGGCATTACATCTCCATCTATGGGGAAGATGAATCTAACAACAAATTATTGCTGAGGCTTGCCAAGTTCGATTACCACTTGCTGCAGATGTCATATAAACAAGAGCTTTGTGAGATAATAAGGTACACCGAGACACTAGTTCCCCAAAGGTAGATCTAAGATTTCATTATCAATATTAACTGCGGAAGTTTATATTTTACAGTACAGTTTTACGTGCAGCTTTAGGTTCACTTGGAGCTTAGTAGGATCTATAATATCCACAGTATTTTAAATCACCAAAAAAATTTCTTTCATAGGTTGGGTTAGTAACATAAAAATATTATATTACTACTCTCTTTCTAAATTGAGTAGAGCCCTACAAGTTTTTAGAATCTTATGAAACATAACCTATACTAAAAGTTAGCCAATGTAACTGTTACTCGTTTGCAATTTTATCTAAAGTATTATAGCAAATACCTTCGTATATGACTATATTTTTCTAGCAGAAAGTTTCATGAATGATTGTTTAATTTTTTTATTTTTTATTTTTTTGACAAATGGCAACGATGTATAGTTGGGGAAAGGGATTGGAGAGTGTATCAAAATTTCCATATGCAAGGGACAGATTTGTGGAATGCTACTTCTGGGCTGTTGGAACCTTGTATGAGCCTCAGCACTCTCTTGCTCGAATGACTTTTGCGAAAGTAGCAGCCCTTATTACAATGATTGATGACATCTATGATGCTTATGGCACTCTTGATGAACTTCAAATTCTCACAGACTCTGCAGAAAGGTAGTGTTCTATGTTAGTCATCTTACACAAGTGAAGCAATCATCTTCGAAAAAATAATTGAGTAATATACTAAAAAGCTTTGTCTTACTGTGAGCCAGTAGATGATAAAGGGACCATTATCCAAAAAGTTTCTCTAGCTTGATGTTGCCTGTTAACAGTGAGGTGCAGTGATATAGGAAATTTTGCTTTGCTTGCAGGTGGGATAGCAGTGGAGCAGATCAACTCTCAGACTACATCAGAGCTTCCTACACCGCACTTCTGAAATTTAATAAGGAGGTTGGGGAAAAATTAGCTAAAAAGCAAAGAACCTATGCATTCGATAAGTATATAGAAGAAGTACGGTACCATGTTGTAACTAATTTTAAGGACCGCGTTAATATTCCAATTGTTCTGGCTACCAACACGTGGAGTACTAATCCATATTTCCTGCTTTCATTTGTCCTAATCAGTGGAAACAATACATGACGACCAACTTGTGTCAGTCAAGGTGGTTTCTCAGGAAAGAATTGCCATCTTTTGCTGATTACATTAGCAATGGTGCGATCACAATCGGAGTCTATCTTACAGCATCGGCAGCTTTCTTGGACATGGATAATGCTTCAGAGGATGTTATCAACTGGATGTCAACCATGCCAAAACTTATGTTTGCTTGCTCCACACATGCCCGATTGATTAATGATTTTGGCGGTCACAAGGTCAGACTTTGTTATGGCATTTAATTGGTTATAAACATTAGATTAAGACAACTCACAGAATTCCCAAATAAGATTAAGTTATAGTCGTTCACGTGCTTCGTTAGTTTTGTTCAAAAATTCTAACAGAATATGCAGATTTTTTTTTGGAGCAAAATAAATCCTTTTTTCATTGATAGATCAGCCAAGGGAGCTTTACAGAAGAGGAAACCATCCACAATCTGCATTAGACTACACTATTTCTATATACTCTACTGTCAAATTTTGAAAGAAAGGACAAAAAAAACAATTACAATCAACCTTGATCTAATCCCCACTCAAGAATCAACTCCCAATTCTCTCTGGTGCAAGAATCTTGTTCCAAGAGGCAACAGCCATCTGCATTGCATTGACCACAGTAGCTACTACACCCACACTAAGAAGGCCTCACTTGCTGAAATAAACTCTTGTTTCCAGTCTGCCATAGAAAGTAGACAGCCATAGAGAAAGCCAGCCTCTTGACTTTATGAGCAACTGATTCAATCCTATAATTCTTACATCGGCAGTGCAACTTCTCATTCCAATTCTTACACGATCACTGCAACACCACAGAATATGCACATTGATCGAGACTTCTATCTGCTTTGGGCAGTTGACCTAGTATGATGCCATGATTAAACTTGTTCTTAGATCTTGTTCATTTCTGTGCAAACACTGCACAGAATTTGCATATGCAATCAGTCTCGGATGCTTTTCCTGAACATAATGAAATACCGCTTAGTTCATTTGGCTAGTTATTGCTTTAGTATGGTTAATACCCTTTCGTACTTTACGTGAATAATTCGGAATTAAACAAAACTTTTTCGCTACAATTTATTAGAGTTTTCATGTTTTCTGTTTGAACTCTTCGTATTTGAAGTTCGACAAAGAAAGGGGCAGTGGCACAGCGCTTGAATGCTACATGAAGGACTATAATGTATCAGAGGAAGAGGCAGCCAAGAAGATTCGAGAGATGTGCGAGGATATTTGGAAGGTTATGAACGAGGAATGCTTGAGGCCTACTCCCATTCCTAGGGATATTCTCAAAATGCTTCTCAATATCGCACGAGTAGGTGAAACGACTAACAAGCACCGTATAGATGGATTCACTCAGCCGCATGCCATTGAAGAATTTATAAGGGCAATGCTGGTGGATTTCATGTCTGTTTGAGGATGGCAGTGGTTCAAGCAATATCAGTTGTGAAGTGTGTTTTTCTATTTTGCCCACACCAGTATTTAATTATGGCTAGTTTGGAATTACGTGCAATGCACATTGGTATCTCTCTCTCTTTTTTTTTTTGTTTCTTTTAGACTTTTAATAACGTGTTTGTTTTGACAAATTACAAAGCTGAATGAAGAATCATTCTTCTTTTTATATGTTTTTGTACACACACATATATGTATATCGAGAAGATGTATTGAGTACTTTTTATAAACTACAAGAGGGTTAATAAATACTTAACTAAGGCCCTATTTGATAATCCAATTCAGTATTTAAATTTAATGAGTTCAGATCTTAACATATTCAGACCATTTGATAATAAAAAATTGAACATCTGAATTAATTAAGTGGCATTGAATTTTTTAGACAAAACTTGTTCTCAAAATTAAGTAATAAGTTATTCACTTATCACTGAAAGTGATATGCTTTTAAATGTATTAGATTTAATACTTAATAATTCAATAACTTAATGATTTCAGATTTCAATTTTATCAAATGCACCCTAATATAAACAAAATGCATTCCTGTAAAGCTCAGAAGGCACATTTTCAATAAGAAATAGAGGAAACCAAAAAAAAAAAAACAGCATATTCAAGGCAATAAACTTTTTAAGTTCAAAAAAATCAGAAATTGCAGTGAGCACGGAGTTTTTTGGTTTTTCCTTTTTCCTATGGCTTTTCAAATTTTCATTTTGGGTTGCTTGTAACAGTCTTCGAGAAAGGATGAGAATGGTAGAAAAAAGGTTTCTGGAGGCGTGATATTGTAATCCTCCAGTATTGTGATCTTGTGCGGGCTTGCCAACTTTGCGGGCTTTTCTTTTGGATTGAGCCTTCTAGACTTTTTTTTTTTTTTTTTTGGAATACGAGTCTTCTCTACTTTAAAAACAGTGAATTCTAGTAAGGGGTGCACTTGATATCCTGGGCATGACATTCCTGAATTAAGAAAAATAAAATAATAATAATAATAATAATAATAATAATAATAATAAAAGAATGCAAGAAATTGTTAACCAAATTTGAGGACACTAATCTAAACTATGTCCCCAGGTAGCTTTGACAAAGACCAGGGATAAGATAGTCCAATTGTGCTAACTGTTAGCTCAATGAGTTGTTTGGATCCGTTCGGAGGTCGCAATTAATGAAAGGTTTTAAACACGGATCGGATTAGCAAGTTCAACCGGTCAAACTGAGAACCTAACAATGGTTTGAGCCACCTACTCAAACCAGGGAGCATTTGACTAAAAAATCGGTTTTAAACCAGAAACCTTGGGTTTTTTTTAAAATTTTTTTCTAATGCACACTTTTTTTCCTTTTTTTTACTTTTTGTTGGGGAAGGGGTACCAGTACAGGCACAAAATATCAGAATTAACCCAAGATAAATTTCTCTTTCTCCAAATACCAGTTAAAATAGGAACAAACCAAATAACCAAGTAATAATACCAGCAGTGATAATAAAATGCAAGAAAAATAAAAGGCACAGGACACCAAGATTTTTACGTGGAAAATCCAATTGGAAAAAACCACGGGACCTAGTCCAGTCAAAAATCTTCACTATCACAATAATGGGAGTACACAGGTCTACCCGAAATATTCGGATGACAATAATATCGCCAGTATCAACCAAACAAAATTGCTACAAAATCACCCCCAAAAACTACAACTTTCAAAGAAGTGAGTTTGAAAAGGTGTTACCAAACGAAGAGAAAACCCGAAATCTGAATCAGTAGATGAGTAGAGCTTGATGAGAGGATCCCGTATATAAAATTTCGTCTCAATCGGATTTCAAATCACCCTCCAATCAAGACCTTAAAATTTCTCTCTCTCCAACTATTTCTCTCTCTTCGTGTCTCTCAAAAAATGGCGGCTGGCTCTTTTTCGGATACGGGGCAGGAGCGGTCATCACGCCGACCGCTCCTGAACGGTCTCCTCTCAAGGTCCAACAAATGGACCACAATAAGCCACGTCAGAAAGGCTTCAGTTGAGGAGAAACGGGAAAAACAAAAAGAAAAAGAGTTGACGGACCGTTTCATGAAGCTTTGGTCCGTTACCGCCCAAATGAATCCTCAAACCGAAAAGCTAAGTCGCACTCCCTCCAAAATAATTACCCATATTCATTAATGCAAAATTCTACAAAACAGAGCAAGAAAGAAAAGTAAAGGGAAAATAACATTGCAGAATTATACAAGGGATAGCAAGAAGTAGTAGAAATAGAGTGGCTGCGAAGGAAAATCACGGCGAGGAGAAGCAATAAGTAGTGATAGAAGGAGAGAGTTTAGGATTGGTACTCAAATATCAAAAGACTTGAGAAGGTGAACGGGAATTATGGAGTACAAGGTTGGGAGATCCGGAGAAAAGATAAAGCAGAAGAAACACAGGTAAGAAAACATCAATAGTATCAGATAAATTGTGGATCAATTTGACTTGTAGTTATCTTTTGCTGTATACATCGTTGTGGATCAAAAGACTTGTAGTTATCTTTTGCAGTTTTGGTTGATGTAATTGTTTAATACAGTGGAAAATAGATAATACACCGGAACCTTCGGTTGCACATAATAGATATTATAATTACCAACACGAGGAAAGAAAGGTATTGAAAATTTTGCACACCAAGTACTTGTAAAATTGCGTGTATGGGTTGGGGATTGTTATGGTTATTGTGCATGAAGTTGGTATAGATTTTGTTACATAACAGTAGCTGAGTGGAGATTAAACATGATATGAGCTTCTAAGATGGTACATACTATTGAGGGAGACATACAAAGTGAAGTGATTGGGAGTGCAACCACCTTTCGAAGGCAAATGTCAAAGAACCTGTCGAAGAAGGTCAATCTACGGTGCAACCACCTTTGATTGGGAGTGCATCGATGTCACAGCTGCATGACCCAGAAACACCACATAGATTGCGGTCATATGGTCGAAAGAGGAAATGTTGGTACTGCTGTATTATTCATAAGGTTGTAATTCAAGTAACATGATTGTAAAAGGTAGACACATACGTTAACTGTGTTTATACCATAATGATGATACCTATATGGAACATAATTTCATTTCTTAGTCATGATCGAAAACTTGTAGGGAGGGATGTCATAACACACCAATTTGTTTGCTGCATAAAGTACGAACTAGACAAACTTCAGTTAAATCGATAATAATCACGTGTGATTTCATTTAAAACTGTTTGAATAATAGCAACAGTGTGTATGAAGATGGTTACAAATTAGTGCTCGTTTTTTTACAGTGTGTTTGAAGAGTGTTACATGATAGTTATTGGGAAGTTACAGTGTGTTTGAAGAGTGTTACAAAATAGTTATTGGAAAGTTACAGTGTTTGAAAATTAATACAAAACTGTTTA